ACGCTATGAAAAGAGCCTGCACAATCGGCGCCTGCACACAGAAAGCTTTAACAATCACGGGATGTGAATCAACGTGGTGCATTCTACTTCGGGAAATTTCAGGGCGCAGTTCTCTTTCAGTAAAAGCGTTAGGTGAACAAACATGCTAATGTCAACGGTCAACGTATTCGCAGATGCCCGTGTTCGCGACGTGTGTCACTTGCAGTGCCATCTCCCGATAGGCGTAGCGAGTAGACGACGTATATGTATGTGGTCTGCTCACAGACTCCGTCGTCTGCGAACACGCCTACCGTAGAAAAAGTTTGTTCAGCAGTCTTTTTTTTTTTTTTTTTCGCAGGAAAAGAATTGCGTTTTGGAATTTCACACAGTACGATGCACCGCCTCACTGAACATTCGGTGAACGTTAGAACTGTCTGTGAACAGGCGCCGATCTTTGAGGCTCGTTTTACGGCGTGAGATCTGTTGGGCACACCCATAGATTCCGTTTCATACTGCGTCCGACGGCAGCCAACGCTACGATGCACCCCAAGTCCAGACGCGCAGCCGCTACTCTACGAGCTGATGGGACGAATCAGACAGCGTCAAAAGCACACCACTGTGGTGTTCGTCGTGTTTATGTACGCGTTCTATCCTCGCTGAATCGATCATAAACACAGAAAAGGCCTCTGGCGTTTTTGACGCTGCTCGCTTGGTCCCATTAGAGAGTTTTAGAATAGGGGTCACCAAAGCTTTGGGACCCAAAACAAATAGGGGCCTCCCACTGAGCATGCGTCGAACCCAAACTGATTTTTGGGTTTTGGGCTGGCACCCATCCATAACGCGAAATTCGAGAAATAGCGTGGGGCCCCCGATTGCTTGAGGCCGGGTTGCGTCGGCAAACATGGCGGCGCCTTTTCCGCTCTCTTCGGACCACACTCGTCATGGTCACTACAGTATAAGCCACGTTCATTACCCGTGACTGGTGCAGCCGGCTTTCGCTTCGCTTTATCTCGACCAAATCACAAAGAATGAGCGGTGAGCTCGCGCCATTTTAAAGATTGTCTTGTGATTCTGGCCGTTCCTAAGCCTAAAGAGACGCGGTAACCGCTGACATGGCAACGTATCGCTACTCCGAGGCACGACCAACTCTGTACTTAACGACCACTCCATCTGAGCGCTCCTAATATGGAAGGCCTACTCCCGGCTCAGGGCCGAGTTTTAGCGCCGCCTAGTGAGAGGCGTTCTCATAGGCGGCACAAAAACTCGGTCCTGGTACCTCGTCGGGTTCTCCCGTTATCCGTGAGTGCGTGCAAGTTGATCGCGCTTTCTGGTTTGAAGCGCGTTCAAGCTGTAAAATGTTTTTCTCTGTGTAAAGGACACTGAACGAGTCCAATTCATTAACTAGTTCGCTTTTTTTTTAGTTTGCGCAGCCAACACCAGATGGTATTGGCTGCGACCGCGCACCACCAACGCCATAGAGGCCAAAACAACCTGGTGCAGCGCGGAGAAGACGAACAAATATACAGAGTTCCAGGCCCCGCCACGAGGCGCCGCTGAAACTCGGCCCTCCGGGAGGTGCGTGCAAGAGTGTTTCCAGATGGAGTGGTCGTAAGTATAGAGTCGGTCGTGCTCCGAGGCTCCAGTGGATTTCGTTCGTGGCACGATACCTGTAACTTAAAAACAGGTCTTGCAAGGCTTCAAAGTCGCTCAAGCTCAGATCTAAATAGAGCAGCTGCTCGCAGAGTATGCTCGGTTGCGTTTGTCTCAGTTTCGGCATATCGTTATAGTCCTAAATCTTCGCCCACAGACGGTCAGGTCAACACACCACACGAATCTGAAAAAAAGAATCCGAGAACGAGCTTGAAATTAAAGTGCTAGGGATTGGGTTGTTTTGGTTGAATACAGCCAAAAACATTCCTACTGATTTAAAATTGTCTTTTGTTTTAGGTTGCTTGATACGGTTTTACCTTAACTAATATTTGTAAACAAAAAGTACTTGCTAAGGAAATGTGTTTTATGTTTTTGTAATATTGTTTTTTTATTACTACGCTTGTTAGCTGCATTGGCGCTGCAAGCGGGAAACTGCTTTAAACGATAGCGCGCCGCGCTGCCTTGCGAAACCCCTATTCTATAAGCCGCCGACGCCAGGATTGTTGCGTTTGGTCCCCGAATTTCTTAGGGGAACCCACACGTTGGGGCCCCCTATTCTGAAACTCACTTATACCTAGCTTGTAGCGTCGAATGTGCCTGGCTTCAAGCTGAAACATGGTATAATCAAGCAGCGCCAAAAAGTGCTTCGTCACGGGCGCTCGTCGTTCTCGTGGCGTTTTCCGTCACCGGCTATAGCAATCAAGCGCAATCAAGCGCAGAAACAGGATCGCGGCGCAATCAATGTGCGTGCTTTGTTTAGTCGCTGGGAGCAGATGCACAAAGACAATGAACGCCGTGACGATGCACTTTTGGCCCCGCTCGATTGACTTCGTAGAATTATTACAATAAACGAGGGAGGCCCAGCTGGCGCTATACACCTTTCCAAAAAACGCTCCTAGGCCGCCGCCATGTTGCTGATGCTGATGCGGCTGGCGCGACTCTCGCGCCCTCTATCAGCTAGAGATTTTCTGCCGCTCCCTGGGACTGTGAAGACCCGCTCAATGCGGTCCTCTACCTACGTACGTTCTCTACCTACGTTTTAGCGGTTTTGCATTCGACTTTTCTCGCCTCTCTTGACAGTTTCCACTTAATTTTTTTTATGCGTGCTGCGTACCCTTTTTGTGTTATCTTCCATCGTGAGAAATAAGGTTGGTAAGTGCCTGCCATTCAAGCTGTTCTGCTCGGCTCGACATTCACGGGAAACGAAGGAGGTGGACGTCACACGACCCTCGACGCGATTTTGCGAACATTGTTCTCCCCCCTCCCAGAGATAATCCGGGTAGAATCCTCAGTCATCTATAAAAATAGTTGTCCGGGTTGGGGTGAGAAACCGGTCAGTCGCGTTTGTTTCTTTGCCTCGGTGCGGTTGTGAAAAAAGGAAGCTCTCCCCAAAACGTGCCCCAAAAAGAAGTCATCTCGGATTCCGTCCGATCGTCAAGATGTGACTGTCGTCGACTGTGACTGTGTTATTTGAGATCTTTCTCAAATAAATTCTTTTCGGATAACGCTGCATCGTGTGGTACGTACGATATATTGTTCGAATGTTAACACTTTCTCAATTGTATGTCCGTGTCCTGTCCATCGGTAAACACGTTATTTGTGAGCGTGAAAAATGCATGCCTTTCGGCCCTCTTCTGTTGCAATTTATTTTTGTCGGCAAAGCGCTTTGTCGTTTCACATGCGGCGAATCCCGCGGTGCCGTCAAAACTTATCGTAAGAAAAAAAACAAATAACTAGAATTATACATTCCAGTCGCATTCGTTCTGTCGCGCGCGTACCCAACAAAAATAGTTTTCATGTTTGTTTTTTTTGCTTTTTTTCTGTTTTTTTTTTTAAATGTGGCACAATGCTTTCTCAATGTCCTCTGGAAAATACATGTGCCATGAAACACAAAATATAGCGGGAAAAGACGAGAATTTAGCCGCCAGCAGCGTTTGAAACTGCGCCTACGCAGGCTGCGCCTATTGAAATCACAGTCCACTCGGTTAGGGTTAGGAGGGACGCCGGTGAGAGTCTAGCCTCAAACTCAGTGACTGGCTTGAAAACAGTTTGCTGCCCCTGGGGTCGAGTGTTTTTTGGAAAGGTGTATAGTGTCTACGGGACTTCAGGTTGTAAATTCAAGCAGACACTAACCAGTCTACTCTTCCAGCCTTCCTGTGCATTCCTATGGGAAAACGTAAGTGATATTTTTCTCTTCGCCAGGGAATAAATGAAATCAGTGTAGTTTGTTTACACTTAACGGGTACTATGCAGCTTTATTCACATTATAAAAGTGTAATTTATTTATTTGATTTTTTTTCCTTACTGAGCGATGTTTAAGTTAGCAAAAATTGAGGCGCAGGGGGGGGGGGGGGGGGGGGGGGGGGGGGCTAAGCTCGACAAACATTTCGTTTCTCCTAAAAGAAACGGAAGTGACGGAATTGACGATATCACGTCTGCTTGGTTAGAGGCTCAAATGATGAAAGTTCCCTCTTTCGTCATTTGAGCCTCTGACCAATCAGACGCGATATCGTCGGTTCCGTTTCTTTTTAGGAGAAACGAAAAATTTGTCAAACATAGCCCCCCCCCCCTCCCCCTATTCTATGTTGTACAGCATGAAATGTCAATAGAACCTATCAATTCAAGCAAAAGGAACATTTAAAAAGTGCGTAGGGTTTATTCAAGCTGTAATAGCATTAAGATGACAGATGACTGTTTTATTTTGGTTATTCATGCACAGTTTGTTACTAATACTGTACGTGATCTGCGTTCCATAACTCCATGCTTCGTTCTGGTCGACTGTTTTGATTGTTTGATTTGCCATATATTAGCATCCTTTTGGTGTTTTATCAAGCTGATTCACTCCCTGTGCTTCATAGCATTGACTACATAATAGCAGTCTGACACGTCAACACGTATTATACATGTGAATTGGGCAATTTTAGCGCAATGTTCGGCGCCATGAATTCTGAAAAAAAACGCTCTGAGACATATTTTCGTACACCCAATTGTAAAACATTCCAAACTTTTTATTCTGTCACAACACTAAGCAATATTTGCTCTTATAATCGAGCGCGAAGAGAAAACGCATTTCCGTTTTCCCTTGGGAATGCATTACCGGAAGTCAAATTTAGACTGGTTGCTGACTGCTTCAAAATGCAACAGCACACTAGCGCCACCTGAGCCTCTTGCGTTTATTGTAATAACTCTATGGTTGGCTTTATCGTATCGTAGAGTCGGGTATGATCTGACAACAAAATAAATAAAAAATAATAATAAAGACATGCAACTCTTTTCTTTGTTTTCTGTTTTTATTGCTGGGTCTCTTTAGCGATATCGATATCGACTCGACGTTCCGCTTCTGGTGGGCCACGGATGGAATGGGCGTCGTCTCATACAACGGCATACCATGGATCCATGTTCACTCTGGAGAGACGACGTACCCGTCCGGGCACTATAAAATATGCCTTTGCAAAACTCCTTTCAGATTCGCGTGGACCGTTTAACCTGAAACGTAAAAATAAAAATAAAAGATAAAAAACATTTCATGCGAGGACATTCGATCGGGAAAACATTACTGCGAACGGTTTCCCTCAAAGGACGCCCGAAGAATGACCTCTGCGGTGCTATATATCGTAAGAGGAGCAAAAAACTTTCGATATTTCGAGCTTAGGCATGAGCGCCCTCTGTCGCACAGATCATATAAAATACGGTCTGCAGACACTTTAGGGAACCGCGCATCTGATACAGTACGGTGTGCCCTCCGGTGCGACCTATGCATGTGAGAATCTCCTTCTGTAGCGCATGCGCAGTTCGAACCGCCCATCGTCCGATGCGCAAAAAGGGTTCTCTAAACCTCCCTATTGTATGAGGCGTGTTTCTTCCTTATAACGGTGGTCATAAAAAATCTCTCTGCAGACGAATTTTTTATACATACGTGTGAAGCAAACATGCTCTTCGAAACATGTTTGAGGCGAGAATAATTCTGCCGTCGTGTGTGCAGCGAACACTGCGCGGCCTTTTGCATACGAGTTGTGTCCGCTGCGTAAGCTTTTGCTAAATTTTTCGATGAGTAATTATGCGTGTGGTAACCAATTGAACGTATTATAGAGCTGTTGGTGCCTTGACTTGTTTTCTGGTAACGAAGGTGCGGTAATCAAAGGGTGTAAGAGCGACGTTACCTGCCTCATTTCTTCCACTGGCACTTCTTCGTAGTTCGTAGAAAATCTCATTTTATCCTCATTGCCCTCACGGCAGCCAAAGTGAGGCGGAGAAAATAGAGAAAGCTAGTTTGGCGCTGCTCGGAATATAGACAGCTCCGAATGAAAAACAAATATGGACTCGCTTCCTCACCCAATAACGGTTGAGTAAACTGCCCTAAACCAAACTGAGAGTGAGAATGCACGTTGTTCCATTACTTGTCTTTTATTATTTGAGAAATAAAAGAAAATTTCGTTTGTTCATTCGTCTTCAGAGTTGTCGAAGGAGCAGTCGATGTTAGGGAGTTTTAAAATAGCCTAGCGGGGGAAAGAGGAATCGTCGTCGCCACGAGCCAATCACAAAACGCGGTTTGGGTTCGGCATATGTGCAATGGCAACGATGAGATCTCTTTTGAGTTCGCCAAGTTTTTTTGGGGTACGCTACACAAAAGCCCTCTACTGTCGTCAGAACTGAAGTTGCCTTCTTTGTTGCCCAAACAATCTAGTTCCAGGCAATGCTACTCCTTGGAATGGGTTATCTTCCAGAGTGTTTCCAAGAAGTATATACTGTAAACGACTTACTTTTCGCGAATTTCACGAATCGCCTAGAATTCGCGAAAAATAGGTCCCGCGAACAATTCCAATAAAATGTGAACACATTGGAATCTATGTTGAGATCCCACCGCGTCGCGAAAATTGGAAACCGCCAATTATTCCAAAAACTTAAGCCTTGAGATAAATTGCGAAATATTGAGCCCGAGAAAAATAAGTCGTTTAAAGTACGCTGAATAGAAGGACGTAAATATAAGGATCACTGTTAAAAAAAACGCGTTACAAGGAAGACGAAACAGACAAACGATAATTTAACATGGACATCCAAATCTTGCAGACGGAAAGAGGGTCAAATAGGGAAAGGAAGGTAGATCATGCACGGGTGCCCCTCCGGAGAAGTCTCGAGCCTGGGGTTCCAGTTTGAAATTAACTGTTAGCCGTTGTGAGTTAGCGCTGGTCGGTGATATTGCCGCGTGCGTGGCGAAGTTGGCAACGCACGCGGCAGCTGCCATATGCAGGAACGGGTTCGAACCCCATTGAAACGACGTTCAATACAGACTCCTTTTTTTTTAATTTTGTGTTTTTTCGAACGTACCGTGTTTGTGAAAGAAGACAGTCTCCCTTCCGTCTTCGCCGCAATATACTGGTACTTTAACTTAAGTATGTAGGCACAAGTTCGCCTCAGTACAGGTTTATTTCCACTTTTTCGTTCTTCTATCACTTTTCATCCGTGACAAAATATGTGTACCTTTTTATCCCACTTATGTTTGTTTTCTTTCACTTTGTTAACGTTAAAATTCAATAATAAACGTAGGTCGGGTACCTTTCGTAGGTAAGTTACCTTTCTGGATATTACGGTATGCCTGCGTACGCTCGCGCGTCACACACATGTACGCCCGAACGAGCATACGCAGGAACGAGCGTTTGAAAGTCATCGAGAGTTTAGAGACCTTTCCACCCTCCGTCGCATGGGCGCATGGAATCACCGCTTCACCATCTCGCTCCGCTCGCCCCTCCGCGCCTGGACAGATGCGTTGTACTCGTGTTTTTCGCCGCGTTTCGCCGCGTTTCTTGCTCTACTGTGTGAGTGGTCGTTCGATGCTTATGTTTTTCCTACCCCATTGTTTGCCGTCATCATGTGAAAAACGTTTGCAGTTGCTTTTGTAACGCGTTAAGTGTTCATGATCGAGAGTAGAATGCTCGAGCTGGAGGCGGAACCACTACTGCAGATCTTACGTTGCACCTCCACCACGCACACGTTCGTCGCTTCCGAAAACGAGCAAAACAAAACGTAATACTCACAAACGCTGATACAAACACCGCCCAGAAACCCTTTTTTCTTTTTTTCTTCTTAATACTTATGGAATTTACGAGTACGAGTCATATTTCTAGCGTTCAAAAAGCAATAAATACTCTCTAACGAAAAATTTCGGAAATATCATTCGCGAGGCTCTTTTCGCAGACTGAATTAGTAACACTCCACGTGTTCTGCATCGCAAACGAAACTTTCGGTAGTCGCCATGGGATGATATTTTGGCGCTATGCAGCTCTCCCTGAGTAACTAACCATTACTAATAAGATATTATCTCGCGTGTACGTTTAGACAAGCAGGAAGTTAGACCCCAGTGGGGGACTGCTGTCTCCGCTGTATCCATGAAATTTAGCGAGTGCACTGCCACCGCAATAGCCTCTGTCTTTCAACCTGGTATACATCACGCAAGCGACAGTCGCGCCACTCAGACATGATACGGAAGGCAGGCGGTGTCGCCTGTAGAAAGCCTGTTTGCTTCATACATGCTTCGTACAAGTCTGCAGAGAGTTTTTTAATGACCCATCTCACTGTCACCCGCACGCCGGTACGATGCTCCTCCAAGACGAAATGACGGCAGGAGTCCACGGGATTGAAGCCAAGATCCCTGGATTCTGTCGTATAAAAGCTTTTGCTCCACATGCTCCGAACTGAAGTGCGTTAACAACACACTCGGCCACCGTTCCCCCCCCCCCCCCCCCCTCTTAAACTAACCACTCAATGCACGTTATTTGACAGGTTTTTTTCCTATAACCTCAGCTCTTTTCTTAATATACTGTCCAGCTAACCATTATCTTTTTTTTTTCCCCCGTTTGGTAGCAGGTTACATTTTGACGACTGCAGAACACTCACCCTTTGCTTTTAGGGCCAGCACAATCACAGCTGTGAGGAGAGAGATGCAGATGATGCACAGAACTCCTATGCCGAAGAGAAGCTTCTTTTCACGACCCGTTAGGTGCTGCAAGATCCCGCTGATGAGACTCACGGGATTCTGTTGGTTTCTGTGTCAAAATTGGTTATCTTCCTAAAGTATGCAGCTCAAAGAACACTAAACTCAGAAAATCACTTTTTTGTTAAGTTCTTGGATAGGAAACATTTGTAACAAAAATATAAAGAAAAAAAAACTTCCCTCTAAAAAAATAAATACATTCAGCGCAATATTTTGTCACAAGACATGAATTAAGAAAGATTTTGATATTTCGGCTCGGCCGACCCGACTGATAAGCCATGTGTTACCGAGTCGCATTCATATAGAGACACTGAACTGCCAAAAAAGTGATTGAAGTGTCTGAAACGCCAACGACGGTCACAAGATAAATTTACTTGAAAGTAAAACAAAAAAGCACAATATTTACGTTATGCGAACAACATTTTGCAGGGATCGAGTCCAAGATGTGCTTCTATTTTGGCACCTTGAAATAGAAGCAAATAAAAAAAAAGCACGTCGCGGTACTTAAAAGGAGTCTCGCATCTAAATACATATAGCCCTTTATTTATTTTCATTTCATTGTCTGTTTTTTTTTTTGGGGGGGGGAGGGGGGTTGACATGGGATTTCATCCAAACGTATAAAACGATGTTTTCTTCTTTCCTTTGGTTTAGTATCCCTTAAGTAAGGAGCACTCCGTGACCCCTACCATCATGTCCCTCCACCCCACCCTCAAAAATACGTCCCCGTGCGTTTATAATTAATGTAACCAACTTTTCATGTAAGCGATTGTTCATTTGGTCGCGTCTAGAAGACTGCTTGTATGCTGACGGTTAAACCTAAAGCAATGGTGACCACTTTGCAACATTCAAATCCGCAGTTTACCCGGCAGTGAGAACCCCTTTTCAATGAGCCTCCATGAGGATAAAGGTTGGTTCACACACTTGCGTCGGGTCCGACCGACGTGCGACTGCAACGGCTGGCGACGTGCGGGTTGCTATGGCAACGGCTGCGTCGGCTCCATCAAAACAGGGTAGAATCCGGTTTCGTTGGAGCCGACACAGCTGCCGCCACAGCAACCCGTACGTGACGTCCCAAGCCGTCGCAGCAGTTGCAATTGGTCGGACCCGACGCAAGTGTGTGAGTCGCCCTTAACTGGCACGACTCTTCATACGTTACATACTGCGTTATTTAGAAATGTTCCCATATCTTGCAGAGTTATGCGAGATTTCGCGTCGCAGCAGCCGTGTGAAAGTTAGCGGTGTTTGGAAGTACTCTACGTGCATTGTACTTAAAGTACTACTTCAAATAGGTTTACGAAAATTGTACTTTACATAGAGTACATTCTATGAGCATGTATTTTAACTTTATACCTAAATGTTTTTTGCATTTTTTTTCTTTTTAAGGAAAGTACAGGTGCCAACTTCAAAGTACATTTCCCAAATTTAGTCCTGTTAAATTTGTATAAAAAAGTGATACTTTGTCAACAAATAAGTGGCTTATAAACTCAGTGTGTTAATTCGTTCCTAAGCGATAATAAAACAACTACTTTGTAGTTACTTCACCTCATCCAGTATTTGCCGCCATTTCTAAAAATAACTAATGTACCCCCGATTACAACAGGGCCATGTTACCAGTTTAAAAAAAAAAAACACTGTATAGTGGAATTAACGATTATGCTAAAAGTATTGGTGCTTTACTTTGAAAGCACATTGTATTTTTAGAACTTTAGTTCAAGCATATTGCGCCCGGTGCACTTAGTACTTTACTTGAAGTATATAACCTTTCATTTACCTTGTACTTTATTTCGAGTACTTTTTATATACTTTACCCACCAATGTATCTAGTACTTTACCCAACACTCAAATTTAAAGTACGCGTGGCACTAAATGAACAAACATGCTAAAAACACTTAGAACAAAAGAGAAGGACAAGCGGAAGACTGCACAGGACAAGGGTTCCATTTAGCATTCATGAAGCGCTTGCCTTGTCCAGTCTTACTGCAGTGTTCTTGTCGTTCGCGCAAAGTGTTTTTAAGATGTTTAACCAATTAGGCAATTAACTTGTATTGCTAAAACACACAACGCCAGTAAAAATGAAGTCTTACGCGTCATTGACGATACTTTCCCTGCTATTCACGAATCCCATCGACATCTTGGCCAGATCTACTCCGTCTCCTGTCCGAATAGGGTATCTAAAAAAATAAAAGGAAGGCCAATTGTCTTTGCTTACTCCTCTGGAGTGTTGTGCGACATGTACGGACCTCTCAAATGCACACCGACAAAATCCGTGTAATTCTAACACGTATCTTACGGATCCCGCAGGACGAAACACACGGGCCTAATGAAGCGTAACAACAACGCCCACAAAGCCGTACAAAAACGTCAGCTGGTGATCACGCGACGATCTGTCGAACCTCAAAACAGTGCGAAAAATTGGAAAGTCATTTCCTGACATGGTAACAGCTACGGATTTTTAGACCCTTTTGACCTTATGATGCACCGCAACGGAAAGCAGCGAGCCATTCCAGCCAATCCGGCGCTTTGAATTGATCACGTGACAAAGCGACCCGCTCGTCGCTGTCGTTAGTTGCTGCGCCGCTCCTGAAAGGTCACGTGACTTGCACACGACATTAGATTGGCTTTGATGGCACGTAACGTTTCATTTGGCTCGTCATAAGGTGAAACAAAGCATAGCACGGGAACAAAATTAGCCGGGAAAACATGTCCCCGGAAATAAATTCCCCTGACAAAATGTCCCTGGACAAAAAGGCCCCAGGTGGAAGGTAGGAAAAAATGTCCCCAAAGGATTCTCTATCTCTGGGTTTCCCTGATCATCGTGGCCTTCGGGCTGTCCGGTCATATGTCCTTGGGAAAAGAGGCACCCTGCGGCAAGTAGGAAAAATCGGCCCCTCCAAATAAGGAAATATATGGCTCCCCGGCCGAGGAACACATTGCGACACTGTTAGCGCGAACACGACATCGGCGCACTTTAGCATTTTACATAGAAAGAGTATTAGTGGGAACGAAATTTTACTATTTGCATTATATCCCCCAAATGAACACTTTCACTACTTATAATAACTTCGATGACGATTCGATGAGCAGAAAAGAAGAAAAAAAAAACTAGCGATCGCTTGTTCGTGTTAGCGGTGTCGCGCTTTTTACCTATTTTGAAACAATAAAAAGAAAAAGTTGAGATGCAATGTTACAAAATCAGGAATTAAATGACACACTCTAGACCAGGGGTGGCCAGGCTGACCCGGCCTAAGAACCGCAAACAAAACCACGAAACTTCCAGGAGTCCATGAGAATCAGGGAAAACCCAGCGATAGAGAACCCTGTGGGAACATTTTTTTCTGCTTTCCACCTGGGGCCTTTTTTTTTCGGGGACATACTTTCTAGGGACATTTTTTCCGGGCACATTTCTTCCGGGGACGTTTTTTTTTGTTTTTTTTTCGGGGGCATTTTTTCCGGAACTTACAGGATCTGCATGTGTATACAGTATTATCGAAAACATTGGTAACGCTGTTAGAACGGGCATGCAACAACTACTACAGGGTCTCACAAAAAAATATTTACAGGTTTTTTTTTTTTACTGCAAAAATAAACTAGGCATTGCCGAACGCTCATTCTCCGCCCAAAGGTAGCGCTAGAGGTCACAACCAGGTGCCAAAGTTTCAGCCCGATCCGATACATTATTCAAAAGTTATAAGTGATTTTCTGAAAATTTCAATGGGAAAATGGAGCCCATTTTTGCCCATTTTCGGTTTCTGGTGTTATAGAGCCCCATGTATTCGAAAACTCCGTCGGCCGCCATTTTCCCATTGAACTTTTTAAGAAAATGACTTTTAACTTTGAATGAGGTATCGGACCGGGCTGAAACTTTGCCATCTGGTGGTGACCCCTAGCGCTACCTTTGGGCGTAGAATGAGCGTTCGGCGATGCCTAGTTTATTTTTGCGATAAAAAAACGTGTAACTTTTTTTTGTGACACCCTGTATATCTACTACCTCTCCCCTGTGATGTAATCAAATAGATAGTCTAAAACGACACCTTATTTCGCTCTGTGCAGGTCAACGAGAATCTCAATGCTGCATCTATCTGACAACGCGTGGGAATATCTGCGGACTCGACAAAAACGACAAAGACATGGGCGTTGGATATCAAATCTTTCTGCCTCACTGTTTGCTGTTCTGCTTCAACGAGTCTGAAGGCCCTTTGATAGTGATGAGTTACTGAACGTCAGGCACACGAAATAAGCCATACACTTGATTATAACAAACCAAGAATACAATGTAGCGAAAAGAAGTATTAAAACTGGAGCACACTATAACCCATCACTAACACACAAAACTGAACGGGTTCCAAATATTCCAGAAGTTTTTTTTTCTTAATATTCCTATATTATATTTTTGTAACTAGATTATCGAGGAAAGCATTCCATACGGCGTGCAAGCTCGTCCGCTCCTTGCGTACCTCGTGCTTTTGTTTACTCCCAAAAGCGCTCACGTGCTTTTGCTTTCCCCCGGCCTCAACCAATGACGGTGCTCGCTTGGCTGCCTCGCCACCGCACGTTTCCTGCGCGTTTTCTATCTTGCCATTTGATTGGCGTGTTCCTCCTTGCGTTCCGATCCACCAGAGACGCATATTGGAGCACATGCTCGCCTTATGCCCTTAGTGTTCGAGGTACGACTAAGAGAGCATGGGATGAGCGGTACAGAAGATGCAGATGCGGGATATTATGTTGCGAATCAGTAATAGGCGTCCCAGTGACAGTGTGCAGGAAGAAAATGAGCGGTTGATGAACTCAGTCTAAGCTTTCTACAAATTGTACTCAGCGCGACACTGTTAACGCGAACAATAGACAGACGCTTCTTTCCCCTGAATTTCTTTCAGAATCAAAGGTCTGCCATTAAAATCCTTGTGGCGCAAAGTAGCCATTTGGGGTACTAACCTAACCGGTGAACTTTCTTTGGCCCGCCAGTAGCTTTTCTAAGTAAAATGCGAAGCAGTGTCAAAGCCTACTTCGTGCTAACAGTGTCGCGCAGTGTAGGTACCTACATTCAATTAGTATTTTTGCCTAGATGATATGTATGGCGTAAAAAAAGAAAGCTTTATATACCGTGCTTTCCTTTTGTTGGGCGACGTTCGGGGAAAACGAAATACAGAAATTTCATTGCAGTAAGCATTGAAGGATATACGCCAGCTAGGTATCAAATCAGTACTTTAGCCATGCCAGATTCTATTGACATAAATCAAGATGATTGGCTCCACTTACGCTTGGCAAAAGTAAAGTAAACAATAATTTACCGTACGTCTTTTTTTTGAGGAAACTGTGATTGTTCGAGTTTTGTGGGGCGGACGAAATATAACGTCACACCCACGCATTGTCCGGAGTGTACACTCTCCAACAATACAAAAGATCCATTCGCCTGGACAAATTATGCATTTGTGCCGAGCAGACTTATTTCCTCACCCCAAGCAATTCTGGACAAAGCGGACCTTGCAGAGTTGCATCAAACTGCACCGTGAAATAGGTCTTTCATTTTGTTCGATACTGTACAAACTCCACTAATCCAGACTCTTACTTGATTCGTACACTTTATTTGCAAAAATCTTTTACAGCAATAATAATTGTATTGCTTATAGTAATGCAATGGGCATCTTGTATTATTGTCAAGCTATACAATTTTGTTTTCAAAAATGACGCCCTAGAATATTTTGAAATGTCAATTGAGTGAACTATGTTCGCTATATTGTCTTTAGACCGTACGCTAAAAACAAATGTGAAAGGGATAATTATGCGGAGGTCGGTAAACTTGGAGGCCTGGAGCTGCATCAGGCGTAAAAACTTCTGTTTTTTTATGTTTCGAATTCTTTAGGTGAGAAGCACATACAAGTTGAGCGAAGCGGACGAATTAAACTTGTAATTTAATATCTCCGTTCATAAAACGACTAATTTCTAGGAGTGGTATTCATCAAGTGATATTCTGGACTATGTAGTACGTCCTTGAAGCAGTCTGTAACGGTGTATTGCGTGAAGTTCAATGAGAGTGATAGGCATGGGAGAATTAGAGTTTCTCCCGTGTGGAGTAAACAACGCATCATCAGTAAATATCTTACCAAGAGAAAAATTTAACCCCTCAAACCTTATGCACAGAGGCGTATCAGAAGTGAAACATGGCAACGAAAGCAATCGAATGCATGGAATAATAAATGGAGGAAGACCTTCAACGAAAGGCGACATTCGTACTACTGGTCGCACCACGAAGACTACGCACAAATTGAAGGATACTGTGCTGTCCCATTTTCCATACAGTCCGGATAACGCCGCATTGAATTTTAATCTCACTTAAGCCCCTAAAGTAGTTATTTTTTATTATTATTTTAGGAGTGACAAAGTTAGCAGGTATGAGGAAGCCATAAAATGTGTTCGTCATCCTGCATCTCAAAATCTTCTTTTTTTCAAAAAATTAGAAATTAATGGAGCAATGCACTTCAAGGTAAAGGGATTACATTCAAAAGTGACGTGGCGTGAATAGGTCAGATCTAATTATTAATGCGAAAGCATTAACTATCCCATGAAGCGAAGCGGGCGGCATCTGTAACCGCAAAAAAAAAAAACGCGAAAGAAATGCCCATTCTCCCATTGGCTGACCAAAAACGGCTCCCAGATAGCCATTGGCGGCTGCTTCACGAAAGTGCGGCCTCGGCAATCTCGGCAATAGCAAAAATTGGCCGCCCACGCCAGTACACCGCAGACGAACTAAGAAAGCGGAAGAACGACATTCATGCTTTTGCATGCACAACTCATAGAAAGTGCTTAGGTGTCCCTGGAATTTGTTTCTTTATCTATGAAACTATATTCTAAATTTGCTCATATTAGTATTCGATACGTGCCGAACTACAAAAAAAGCCAACGATTGAGAGGTAAGGGAGTTCCTTATCTTACTACTAGAGTAAGATAACTACTACTAAGTAAGATAACTACTACTACTAGAGTAAGATACTACTAGAGTAAGATAAGGAACGTCATAGATCACAGCGCACTGCTATGTGATGCTAAAGTTGGCCGCCACTTAGTTATCTTTGACCTTGCAGCTTCCCTTTGCGAGGACGTCGACTGGCAAACAAAAGTGCCCTTCGAAAGATGCTTTATCATTCGGCTTCGACTTACCCTTAACCCTAAAGTCTTTATAATAAAGGCCAAACACGTTTCCTATATGTCGTGAATTGTGGACAGCATGTTATGAAGTCTTTGCCGATTAGGGATGGATGATTCCAAGTTATAAATGGGCAGGCACGGGGCCGCAGAACATATCTTTGAGAGCCTCATGAAGCTCGTGGGCTTAGTTTTGTTCTGGTCCTGACGTTGCTATGTAGTATACTTATGTTGTGATGTATATATATACTCTGTGAGGGCCCAAGAATTCACTAGAAGCACCGCCTTCAGCATGTGCTCGTTGCCTTTCCCCATGCACTGGCTGCGCTTGCAACGAAGTGTTATCAAATGCAGAGAGCTCCCGCACAAGTATAATCTCAACCTGCCACCGACTTGTAGTTATGCACTCGCCTCTTTCAGTAAAAGTAAAAGGTACTTACTCTAAAATGCGAACGATGTAGTTGACTGGCGAGCATGCAGCGATGACTCCGGTACTCCTACTGAAGCCACATACCACAAACCCCGGCGATCGATAAAAGCGGACTCCTGGAACGGGGCACGTAAACAAAGATAGTGGACACTTTTGAGATAACCGTGCCTTCCTTTGTACAGAGCTAAGACCTGTTATATCGCGGGCTCCGAAGAGAGGTTTTTAATCAATAATGAAGAGACTGAAACGCGTCGGAGTATCTCACGGAACGCTGAGCAAGGCATGACAGGATCATATGACTTAAGGTCTTGCAAAATTATTAAACGATTAATAAGACGTAAGAGTAGACACACATCGGAAAAACCCGCGCGATATCACAAAAAAAACGCGTACTCAAGAGCAGCTTTAATCAAATCATATTTGACATTCATGTTTAGACGGCGTAGGTCGTTCCGGCTTTGAGCTGTAGTGACGAAGGGTTACGCTGTAGAAGTGAAACTTAGTAAGTGCAGTACCACTGCTAACATGGGTTCCTTAACATGCAAGACGCGGTTGTGTCCTGCGGACGACCGCACGCCGGTAGTATGCTCATCCAGATCGAAACGGGCGGGGCATTGAACCCAGGATCCCTGGGTTATCCAGCGCGGGCTTCTACTCGCGCGCTCCGAGCTTCGCTTGGTCACCAATCCTTTGCAAACGCAGCTCAAACTACCTCGGAGCTACGTTTGAGGCTTGTTACCACTCAAGTCCTGGGAAAGTAGCGCCTTGCCTTCTCTGCCTGCTAGCCGAACCCACATAGATACTAACATACAGACGATCAGACCTCGCAAAGCAATTCGCTAAAAAAGAAATTTTATTTGCATATTTTTTTTATTTTTTTATTTACCAAATAAGACCTGCAGCGCCGAAGCTACTGCATTAGAGCAGGTACAGCTAATGAATAATGCGCTCAATAAAGAACTAAAAATGCAGAACACTTGAATATACATGCCTCTGCTGTCAAGAAAGAGAATACATAAACGATAAAAATAAATAAAAACATTAAAAATCAAGACCATTTCCTGAGGTAAATGGTCCCACGTCGTTGATTGATAAAAAAAAGACTTAGGTAACAGGTTCCACTAAGTGATCGTGTAAGGAAAAAAAATGAAAACTTACTATAATCTGTTCTATAGAAAATTTCCCTTATCGTTCTGGAATGATCCAAACGATTTGAAATATAATTAGGTAATTCTACGTATTTGTTTTTATCAATACCTGTCAAATCGTTAAAAATTGCGAGCAGGAGCCTCAATCGGAAATCTTTGCGTCTTAAAAATAGAGTTTCTCAACCAAGTACATTTTTAATCTTTGTAGCGCTATTGTTTCTATCATAATTTCTTGCTATAAATCTCGCCGCACGGTTTTGAAGTTACTCTCACTTACCTGCAAGGTACTTTTGGTGCGGATCCCACAAAACACATGCGTACTCCAGTGTTGATCTAACCAAACAGCAGTAGGCTGTCTCCCTTAGTTTCTTTGGAGCACCGCGTAAAGTTCGAATAAGAAAATTTAAAATTCGGCTGCCCTTTTTAGAAGTTTCAGTGACATACACATTAAAAAAAGTGTGCTTGACAAGATAATCCCCAAATATTAAACATCAATGTCATTACTTAATTAATGATGATCAATAAAATAACATGAAGGGACAGCGTTACATTTCCTCCCAAAAATAACTTGTACGCACTTATCCAAATTCAAGCCTAACTCCCAAATCCTGCACCAATCCGATATTCTATCCAGATCCAAGTGTAGAAAGCCTAATCACTAACACTGTCAACCCTGCTATACAAAACACACTCGTCCGCAAACAGCTTTATGGGCAAGTTAATGGTCGATGATAAATCATTAATAAAACAAGAAAAAGAGGTCCCAGCACTGACCCCTACGGCACGCCAGAAGTCACATCCACAAAGTCTGAAATTTACAAAATCAGCGGCGTTAGGCCCCCCCCCCCCCCCCCCCCCTAACTTTACGTCCTACGTAGCAAAACACGGTTGGGGAGCGTATGCAGACATTGTTGCTATTCACAACGTAAATAAAACGAGGGTACCAATGCCTGGGAAACTCCTCTTCACCTAAGGCCCAAAGTTGATTTCTTAGGTGGTCGGCCATCTTTTCTCGTAACGCTTGCAGTATTGGAAACATTGGCCTAAAACGCTGGCGTTGAATAGCGGCCCTATTTCTATACTACCAAAAAAACTTACCGCGCTAGGGTTACTACCAGCTTGGCGAAACAACTGCGCACACGCATTTGGGAGCAAAAGCGGGTTCAACAAATCCGTGACACCAGTGCCCAAAAAGTGCACGCGCCTACACATCTGTCGAATACATGCTGCTTTGTCTCTGGGAAGGCACACTATAGGCAACCGTCAGTCGCGGTGACTTCCCAACGTTCTAGCCTGTTTCTAATGGGTAGAGGATTTCCCCCATATTCCAGCCAATGTCGGCCGCTTGTCCTGGTACCCGGGAGCTCCGAGCTTGGTGTCGGGGAGACACGTCAGCCGCGCAAAGGGCCTCAATAATACGCGATGCTGCTGTCTCTTGGGCACTGACGTCGGGCAGCGCTTCTGCTATCCGGCGTTGCATTGCGACATCCATGGAGTTGCACGGCGAAGGAGCCTCTGCCGCAGGGCCAAATTTCCTTGTCCCCGAGGACCGGGGACCCGGCGTAAACGTCCCAACCAATACAAAGCTAGGGCGCCGCCTGGATAACCCACATCACCTAGCAGGTCCAACGAACACTTCAAGGCAAGCAACTTTGCAAAAGTTACTACACGCGGTATGCTCCAGCCACCACTATGAAGGGGCTGGCGCAGAGCAGACCTGGAAACAAGTTCGGATTTCTGGCCCCAAAAGAACGCAAACATGAGGGACGTAATTCTACGTATCGTTGCCTGTGGCGGAACCTACATTTTAGCCGCGTACCAGTTTCGCACAACATACCGATGTTATTAAAAACGCTTTGTCGGCGAAAGATAGATCAAACTCTTAGGTCAGCTGCACTTGTTGCCTTGCGTGCTCAAACATTTCCTCCCATATACGAGGCACTACTCCATCTTTTGAAGAGAACACCCAGTACTCTCATCACTAGAGCAAAGGAAATGACGCCAAGAGAAGCATCAGAGAATTGCCATACTGAAGTGCCTGACTTTGCTCTTGGTTTAGTTGGGCTCTGGAGAGTACTGCGTAAAGTACTTCGTGTTCAACTACATAGCTTCCTATCAAATGTAATGCCAGCGCGTTGCATGGCTGGCAGCGGATGCTGCTGGTTTTGCCTTCTCATCCTTTCATCTTATGCTTGTTCTAGGACTGTACTTATCTGTCGCGGGCTTTACAGCCTCATACATATCTTGTCCATACATATAAGGGCAATATATGGTTCTTATATGTATGGTAGTCTAGATATGGATGTACAGGAATTGGGAAGATATGGTCAGATATACATATAAGGGCCATTTATCGCCATATGTGCATATAAGGCCGATATATGGCCTTTATATGTATGTCTGGCCATATCTGTCCAATTCCTTACATATCCATATCGGGATTTTTAATATAAGTCCAGATATGACATTTTTCTGAGGGTAGCCAGCGAAGATACGTTTGACCTCTAAAAGCTGTCAGGGTCGCGTAAATACAACGACACGTCATCCGCATAAGCGTCCACGGATATCGTGCCTATATAGACTAGGGAGCGCGAAACCTCGATCACTTCCGCTTTGGTGGACACTCAGTAGCAGTGGATCCAGACAGACCACAAACGAGGGCCCACCATGAGCAGCCTTGTCAAACCCCTTTAGTAACTGAAAAGCACGTAGTCAAATGCCCATTCACAATGAGCTCTTTGAACATGTCTTTGTAAATGTTTTCTAAAAGTCAAATAAATGATCAAGAAAACCTAAAGGCTGTCAAAACACCGTAGATAGTTTTGTTTGACCTCGTCAAAATCTTTCGCTTGGTCAAAGGAAACAAAGGCCCCGTTTCGCGGACGGGATGTTGCGCACGCGAACAAATTAAACGTCAACGACGACGAAGAAAAAAGGCTTCGCCCAGGAACACTGCCTGTCTGGAAGGGACTCACAACTAGAGGCAAGAGGTTTCGAAGTCGCTTTTTTAAAAGCGAAGCAAGTATTTTATTGTCGGTGTTTAGCAGTATGATTGGTCGCCTTATCATTGCACACCGCGAAATTTAGCGGGGAAACTGAATTGGTGCATAGGTCGTGACGTCGATCTTTGGGCTAAATTTAGCGGGGAAACTCCTCTCTAAATTTAGTATCGTACTGTAGGACGACCTATAGGAAGACTTCAAGGAAGACGTCGAAGACGAAGTCCCAGAGGACGACGTCAAAGACGACGGCTAGAACGACCTCTAGGATGATCTCAAGGACGACTTCTAGGACGACGTCCTAGGGGACGACGTCGAAAACGACGTCTAAGACGACCTCTAGGACGACTTTAAGGTCACCAGGTCCTTTGAAGAGGGTGCAAATCTGAAGGAGTGCGTCGCTCGGTGCAATGGGGTGCAAGCACAGTGGGCTGAAATGGTCTACTGCGCATACGTATTACGCATTAAAAGGCCAGGAAATACCCATAGAACTAAAATCTTGAGTAGTAGCTTAAAGGGCAACCCCGGTCCATTCTTTCGATTTTGGGATTATGACTGCTTTTAGCGCAGTCAGAGTCCATGAATTGCAAGGTGTATTTTTTTTTCGTTATTGTGCGTAGTCTTAAAGATATCGACGCCTCCATGTTTTGTTTGGGGCACGGCCAACAAAACCGAAACTAGCCGCTCGAGGCCCCGGCAATTCTGGAAATCAGCCGCAAGATGAACGTGACGTCAGGATCGTTCTCGTTCAACGAGTACGCAGCAGAGCGGCACCCACCTCTGTTGCGCTAACCATCTAAAGATAGGAGGTAAGCTGATTTTGTTTTAATTTTGTATACGTAGTAGTTATCCAGCATATGCAGCAAGCTAGTACGTATACCCAAAAGCTAGCGACTAAAAAACCCGTGAACTCGTTCAATGCTGTACTCGGCGGCCGCCGCCGTGCGTGCGCTATGACGTACTCGTCGCTTGTATACCCATAAGCTAGCGACTGGAAAACAAGTGAACTCGTTCGGTGCCGTACTCGGCGACTGTCGCCGTGCGTGCGGTCTTCCGTACTCGTCGCTAGGCCTAAAATGTCATCGGGGCTCCGTGGATGGAGCGGCGTTGCTCTACGCCGCGCTGCCAGTGACGTACAGTACTGGAGGCCCTCTCGCTTTCGCGGAGCGGGTCAGTCATAGACACGAGGGTTTGAGGCTCTCCGGCGTGGGCCGCGGCGCACGAACACACGTGTGCTGGGCTGTACACGTCTGTTTTTTCGTTCTTTTTTCCTCGGGCGCGTAA